GTGAGTGTATTGGTACAATCTCAGCTCACTGTAATCTCCATTTCCCAGGTTCAAGTGATTCTCCTGCCTCGGCCTCCTGAGTAGCTGGGATTTCAGGCGCATGCCACCACGCCCAGCTAATTTTTGTATTTTTTAGTAGAGACAAGGTTTTACCACATTGACCAGGCTAGTCTTGACCTCCTGACCTCAGGTAATTCGCCTGCCTTGGCCTCCCAAAGTGCTGAGATTACAGGCATGAGCCACCGCACCCAGCCTACGTGAAATATTTTGTACAGAAAAACTACAAATAAGATTTTTTAAAGTTAGTGATGGTTCACTATAATATTGGTACACAAAATTTTGATTTCACAGTTGGGAAAAAAATGGATATAAACAAAAGGGAAGTTTTTTTCTATAAAACACTATTTATACAAGGGGATAGAAATGATAACTAAATGTATGAAAACCTTCAGTTTCTCTAATAATGAAAGATATTGACTGGCTGCCATGTTTTGGGTACTAGTACGTCTTGAGCCTATTAACAATCCCATATGTAAGGTATGTAATACACATTTGCAAATAAAACTTACTATGTGTAAATGTGTATTACATACCTACCATATGGGATTGTTGGAAGAGAATAAATAATTTATCCCAAGTCCCAAAGTCATAGAGTTAGTAAACTGTGGAGCCAACATTCAAATCCAGGGAACCCTTGAATACAAAGTCCATGCTCTTTATTTTAATATTTCTTTTTTTTTTTTTTTTGAGAAAAATCTCACTCTGTCACCCAGGCCAGAGTGCAGTGGCACAATCTCAGCTCACTGCAACCTCTGCCTCCTGGGTTCAAGCGATTCTTGTGCCTTAGCCTCTGAGTAGCTGAAACTACAGGTGTGCACCACCACACCCAACTGATTTTTGTATTTTAAGTAGAAACGGGGTTTTACCGTTTTTGCCAGGTTGGTCTTGAACTCCTGACCTCGAGTGATCTGCCCCCCTCGGCCTACCAAAGTGCTGGGATTACAGGCATGAGCCACTGCACCCGGCCAAAGCCCATGTTCTTAATCATTGTACTGTATTGCCTATAAAAATCAGAATTCCTTAGGGGCCATGTTTGATACCTAAATAATTAATTTTATTATGGTTTATTTGAAAGAATAAATGAGAAATCTGATAAGGAAAAATTATGAGTGGGAAATAACCATGCTAGATAGAATGAGGCAATGCAGTATGAGGCTACATTGTTCTATTTATTTATTTATTTATTTATTTTTATTATTATTTTGAGACAGGGTGTCACTGTGTTGCCCAGGATAATCTTGAACTCCTGGGCTCAAGTGTTCCACCTGCCTCGGCCTCCCAAAGTGCTGGGATTACATGTGTGAGCCACTGTGCCCAGCCCAAGGCTATATTGTTTAAAACACATTAAATATTGGCATTGGAGAGAGTTGAGTGGAGTGGGAAAAGAAAAAAATAAAAAGCTTGAAAATACTCCCAGTTGGAAGTGAAATGTATTTTATAATATAGATACTTAAGTTTTTTTAATTTTTTATTATGGGTACATAATGAGTGTATATATTTAGGGAGTACATGTGACATTTTGATGGGGCATACAATGTGTAATAATCACATCAGGGTGATTGGGATATATATCACTTCAGCATTTACCATTTTTTTGTTTAGGAACTTCCCAATTCTACTCTTTTAGTTATTTTAAAATATGTAATAAATTACTGTCGGTTGTCATCATGCTGCCATGCTATCAAATACTAGGTCTTATTCATTCTGTCTCACTACATTTTTCTACCCATTAACCATCCCCACTTTTTCTCCCCCTCCCGAGTACCCTTCCCAGCCTCTGGTAACTCATCCTGTCTATTGTTTTCATGGAAAATTGAGTTCAATTGTTTTAATTTTTAGCTCCCACATAATGAACAAGAACATGCAAAAAGTTTTCTTTCTGTGCCTGGTTTATTTCACTTAACATAATGTCCAGTTCCATCCATGTTGCTGCAAATGATAGGTGTTTTCATTCTCTTTTCTAGCTGAATAATATTCCATTGTGTATAGTTCCACATTTCCTTCATCCATTTATCTGCTGATAGACACAGGTTGATTCCAAATCTTGGCTATTGTGAAAAGTACTGCAGTAAACATGAGAGTACAGATATCTCTTTGATATACTGATTTTCATTCTTTCAGGTATATACCTAGCAGTGAGATTGCTGAATCATATGGTAGTTCTGGATTTTTTTTTTAAGATTTCTAAGGGACTTCCACTGTTTCCCATAGTGGCTATACTAATTTACATTACCACCAACAGTGTATGAGGATTCCTTTAGGAACCTTTTTAATGATTAAGGAGAGTAGATGATTTTATACATGACATTAGGACAGATGGCTCACTCTTTTGGGAAAAAAGGTAGATCTTTGTCTCTCCTTACAGAAAAAATAAATTATAGATGTAAAAATAAACTATTAAAAGTGGCAAAACCTGACAAGTGTGAATTTTTTTCATTTTCTGACCAACTAATAATCTCAGACACTGGCTTTTTTTTTTTTTTTTTTTTTTTTTCCCCCTTTTCTTTTCTTTTGAGACCGAGTATTGCTCAGTTGCCCAGGCTGGAGTGCAGTGGTGCAGTCTCGGCTCACTGAAACCTCTGCTTCCCAGATTCAAGTGATTGTCTTGCCTTGGCCTCTGGAGTAGCTGAGATTACAGGCACATGCCACTACACTCAGCTAATTTTTTTTATTTTTAGTAGAGACGGGGTTGGCCAGGCTGGTCTCAGATTCCTGGACTCAAGCGATCCACCCGCCTCAAGCCTCCCAAAAGTGCTGGGATTACAGGTGTGAGCCACTGTGCTCAGCTGACATTGGCATATTCTGTTCTCACCTACAACTACCTCTCTTTTAGACCAGGTGCATATCAGAACTAGTTAAACAAAATAAATGAATGCTTGAATGCTATGTCCTAAAGGCATCACCAAGAGTAAGACGGATTTGTAAAAGTCCAAAAGAAAATATCTGACTTAACATGTTCACCTACACATAGAAATTAAGGGTTAAGAGATTAAGGGTTCTGAGCTGGGAACAAAAAGCAAACTTGGTGTGTGTGCTAAGAATATTTTTTTTAATATTTGAGGATATCTGAGAATTGAAGCGTATGCATGTAACTGACTTATGTTGGGATTGGCAGAAACACCTTGTGTCAGTGAGCATTCAGAGTCAGTAAATATGGCAACAGACTAACAAAGTAGAAGATAGAATTCCGTTTAGTGATACTGTTCTCCCCACTCCACATGCACACAATACGTGCTTAGTTTCTGCACCTGCCACCTCCCAGGGGTCATTAGGCCTTCCGTGGGTTTAGAATAAAAAATCAAATTGAGTATGAATAAGAAAAAAGTAACACTTTTGAAAACGAGCAAAGAGCAACATTTGAAGGAAAAGAAACTTTACTATCTTTTGTAAAGAAATTAAAGTAGTTTTGCGTAAAGAGTTTTAAACTCAAAAGGAATGTTAAGCAATAGTTACTTAAGGAATGATGGGAATATGTGTTGTTACAACCTTAGATATACTGTTTGAGCACTTCTATTTTTAGTTGTCCTACAGATGCTTTCACAAGTCCACAAAGATATCTTGTACATAATAATACACAAGTGTTTTTGTGTAGCACTTAGGAGACAGGTAGGCATTTAGGTTGTTTTATCAATTTGTATCTGGTTAAATAAATTTGATACATCAATATATACGTCAATATAGTGGAATATAATGCAGCTATTGTAAGGAATGTGGTAGAAGTATTGGTATGGAAAGATCTCCAGGATATATCAAGCAAACCAAAGCTAGGGATAAAGTTCTCTATTGTGTATATCTTATATCTATTTATATAGGACTGTATATATTCCTTTATATATTTAAAAATGTACACATTTGTATATACATCACAATATTGGAAAAATTATACGCATTCTTAACAGACTACCTATGAGGGCTGGAACTCTTTATACTGTTAGAATGTTTTTTATCCATAAGAGAGACAGAGAAAGAGAGAGAGAGAGAGACAGAGACAGAGAGAGAGAGTGTGTGTGTGTGTGTGTGTGTGTGTTTGAATTTAATAAGGTATATACCAAAATTCAGTGTTGATTCAGTGTTGATAGGGATGGATGAGACTAATACTTTTATATGGCAGCCAGTAGTATCACAAACTATGTGTAGTGACTAAACCAAAATCTATTTTGAGCACCTGTTATATGCCAGGCATTATGCTAAACATTTTATTCACATTTATCTTACTTAAATCTCCATCTCTATAAAGTAGATTCTTTTCTTCTCTGACTGGAGGGAATGGATTTAGAAGAGTAGTTTCTTGCTGGGAGTCACAAACTGTTTCACTATTGGAGCTGGGTTCTAATCCAGACAGCCTGAGTCCAGAGAATGTGCTTTCTGCCCCTACACATACTCTGCAGCTGCTCAGAAAGGGCTCTGGAAATGTGTATGAAAGGTTATCATATCAGACAAAAGACCAGGATTTTCAGTCAGTCAGTTTCAACTCAAAATGGAGATGACCACTGCCCTTCTTTGAAGAAATCATATTAGTTGATTTGTATTCAGATACCTTCTGCATGTATGAAGTACTATATGAATGAGATTTTAATATCTTTTAGCCATAGCCCACTTTCTTTATATATCAAGTTCAAATGTTTTAACTCCTCCTCATCTCATCTATAAAATGCAAGATTTTTGTCACCTGTTTTGAATCTCTTTATATAACTCTCAGTTTTGGCAATTCCTTTTGCTATTTTGAGGAAATATTTAGTGTTTCTGACAAATTTTTTTTCTTTCTACCTAAACTGATTTTATCACTAGTTGTATCGTGTTAACAACATGCTTTCAAGGCCTACTACTGGAATCTCTATTTTAAAAACAAATGAGGAAAAAAAATTGCTAGTCTATATGATCTGTTTGCTACTTTAAAAAAAAAACACGTGAACTTACCTATTTTTTTTTCTTCTTTTTAGGAACATCATCTTCAACGAGCTATTTCAGCACAGCAGGTGTATGGCGAGAAGAGGGATAATATGGTTATACCAGTCCCAGAGGCAGAAAGTAATATTGCTTACTATGAGTCTATATATCCTGGGGAATTTAAGATGCCAAAGCAGCTCATTCACATACAGCGTAAGTAATGATTTTCTTAATGACTTTATTTTCTACATTTCCCTTATTATATGACGACAGATTTTTATCTATTCAGGAACATTTTCATTACTTGTTTCATTGACCTGCATCAGCTTAAGAGTTATTAGAGCCCATTTTCAACTTTTAGAATGATAATTTGAGATATCTGCCTGACAAGAAAAGATAGCATTTATTATTCTACATTTTTTGTTTTATCCCAGCATGCAATCTTGTACTGCTTTAGACAAGTAGGATTAAAAAAAAACACCTCAGATATAGAAATAGTTTTCCTCCTGTTCAGAATTAATAATATTAATAGTCTTTATTTTTTTTTTTTTTTTTTTTTTGGGATAGAGTTTCACTCTTGTTACCCAGGCTGGAGTGCAATGGCGCAATCTCAGCTCACTGCAACTTCTGCCTCCTGGGTTCAGGCAATTCTCCTGCCTCAGCCTCCTAAGTAGCTGGGATTACAGGCACATACCACCATGCCCAGCTAATTTTTTGCATTTTTAGTAGAGACGGGGTTTCACCATGTTGACCAGGATGGTCTCGATCTCTTGACCTCGTGATCCACCCGCCTCGGCCTCCCAAAGTGCTGGGATAACAGGCTTGAGCCACCGCGCCCGGCTTAATATTAATATGCTTAAAGAACTTGACGTAAGTGAAGGTCAGCAGACTTTTTCTGTACAAGGTCAGATTGTAACTACTGTAGGCTTTGTGAGTCATTCAGTCTGTCACAACTATTCAGCTCTGCTATTGCAGTGCAAAATCAGCTAAAGAGAATACAAAAATGAATGAACATGACTGTGTTGCAATAAAGTTTTAATGATAAAAACAGGTGGCAGGCCAGAATTGGCCCATGGGACATAGCTTACCAACCCCAGATCTGTTTTTTTCTAGTAGAGTGAGGCTAATTTTTTAAAAATTCAGTGTTCTGATTGGGAACTTAATTTCACTTAATAGTGATAGGGTCTTCATAACAAATGATCATTCAATAACTGTGTGTGACATTTGGTGATGAATAGCTGAGAGCTTTTACCCAATCTCCAAGTAATTAACAACTTAAAAACAAATAATTGAAAAGTTAGTAAGGTAAAATTCTTGCAGCTTTCATTGTCTTGTTAATCTTTATAATCAAGAAGTTTTCCTAGGTGACCATCTACATTTTTTTTTAGGGACAATATAAACCTATTTTGTTTTTATTGTTCCTTGCAAGCACATTGAGAAACCAATTTTAACTAGTTTACTTGTGCACTCACATGTTTTGTTACATTAAAGAGATAGACACAGACATTACAAACAAATCTGATAAATATTAGAACCTAAAAAGTTGTTTTCCAGAAAATCATGTCAAGGTGGATTTGAGAGCTAGGGATCTGATCTTTCCCATGTATGTTAACTAGAACCACATTATGTTCTGCTGCCACAAGCTATATTATCTTATAAATGCATGCTTTTAGGTTAAAGCAAGGTTGAGTAAAATAAGATAAAAGTATACTAATTTACATTATCATTATGAGAAAAAAATTAGTGCATGTCTTAAAGATGGCTTACTTATGATCAAAATCTATAAAATATATTTTACTGTTAACTAGTGAATTATATATGGTCAGTCAAGTCAAAAGATACTAACTGTATTGAAAAAGGAATTGACTGCTGACATTATAATCAAATATTAATAAGTGACAGCAGAATTGTAGCTTATTTGGGAGGAAATTTTTTTATCAGTACAAATTTGAGGTAACTTGTCTTTGGAAAGATATATACTTTGAAATATTGGTAAAGATAGTGCTGCTAAATTTGTGTTAGCTGCCCTGTATCTATGGGAGGTTGCAAAAAAGTGTACAGAGAAGTCTCCTGCACAGTTCCTCCAGCCTCATCCAGTGTTAACCTCATGCACAACTTATAGTACAGTATCAAAACCAAGAAAGTGAAGTTGAGTTTTTGATTATTATCTAAATAATTTAGAGTTTATTTAGATTTCACCAGTTAGACATGCGCCACGTATGTATGTGTGTTTGTGGTTCTGTGTCATGTGTAGCCCTGCGTAACCACCCCCACTATCAAGACACTCACTGCCACCATCACCACCAGACTCCCGCTTGTTACTCCTTTATAACTGTACCTTTCCCTCCCCCCATCCACTGGCCATCACTCATCTGTGATCCATCTGCATCATTATGTTCACAGATGTTACATAAATGGAATCATGCAGTATGCATCCTTTTTAGGTTGGCTTTTTTCATTCAGTATCATTGAGGTTCATTCAGTTGTTGGATATATCAGTAGTTCATTCCTTCTTACTGCTGAGCAGTATTCCATGACATGTATATAACACAGTTTATTTAATCATTCACTTATTGAAGAACATTGGGTAGTTTCCAGTTTTTGATCATTACAAATAGAGCTGCTATGAACATTCATGTACAAGGTTTTTTGAGAACGTGATTTTGTTGATGTTTGTTTGTTGAGACGGAGTCTTACTCAGTCACCCTAGCTGGACAGCAGTGGTGCAGTCTCAGCTCACTGCAACCTCCACCTCCTGGTTCAAGCAATTCTCATGCCTCAGCCTCCCGAGTAACTGGGATTACAGGTGTGTGACACCATGCCCGGCTAATTTTGTATTTTTAGTAGAAATGGGTTTTCACTATGTTGGCCAGGCTGGTCTCGAATTCTTGACCTCAAGAGATCCACCCGCCTTGGCCTCCCAAAGTGCTAGGGCTACAGAGATAAGCCACTGCACCCAGCCAGAACATGAGTTTTCTTCCTCTGGGGTATATATTCATGAGTATAGTTGCAGAGTTCATCCATTTTTAGTTTGGGAGGGAACTGCCACGCTGTTTCCTGGAGTAGATGTACCATTTTATATTATTACCAGGTGTATATTACCCAGTTTCTCCCTCTCTCTCCAGCACTGGGGGTTGCCACTATTTTTTATCTTAGCCATTCTAATTAGGTGTGTAGTAATATCTCATTGGACTCATCTCGCTCTGTCACCGAGGCTGGAGTGCAGTGGTGTGATCTCAGCTCACTGCAACCTCTGCCTGCTGGGTTCAAGCAGTTCTGCTGCCTCAGACTCCTGAGTAGCTAGGGATACAGGCACACACCACCATGCCAAGCTAATTTTTTTTTTTTTTTTATAGTAGAGATGGGTTTTCTTCATGTTGGCCAGGCTGATCTCAAACTCCTGACCTCAGGTGATCCACCCGACTAGGCCTCCCAAAGTGCTGACAGGCATGAGCCACCATGCCTGGCCTCTTTTGCCCACTTTATATGGGATGGGTATCTTAATGTTGAGTTTCAAGTGTTTAACAGTAGCTGAATCTGGGTAAAGAGTATGCAGGTGTTCCTTGTACTGTTTTTATTTCAACAACTTGTATAAGTTTTGACTTCTAAATAAGGTTTTTTTAATGGATACTTTTTCCTAAAGTAGAACCTACATTTACGTTACCTCCCAGAACAGATATCCTGTCTTTGTACTCAGCTTCTGAAAGATTATTTTCTCCTTCCCTCTGCCTGCCTCCACAGCCCCTGCAGCATATTCTTCTGGTACAGCTTTCTGACAGATAAAATCTATAGCAGCCAGAGAACTTTATGTAGAAAGCATCTTATATCTGGGATTTCAAATTTGATATTCCCCATTTTCGCTAAGTACATTCTAGAGGTGACCCCAAGCTCTAGCTTTTAAACAAAGGAAACTGAAGATTTTCATGATCTAGCTAGTCAGTGATATCTTTCTTAGATCTGAGGCAAGGATGTCAAATATGTATCAAGTGTTTTTAATCTAACAATTTTAATCAACTTGAGGATTTCCAAAATCCTAAACACATAATAATGACAAAATGAGATCATGGAAAAACATTGGAGGGCCTATGATTGTACATAATGTAAGTACAGAAATGTTAACATCTAGAAATGTTTATAGTCTGAATACTCACTTATTTTAATTAGGAATGTTACAGAAATGTGATATAGTTCAAAATGAAAATAGAACCGTGAAATAATAGATTGAACTGTACCAATATCTTTTTACTCCTCCAGGCCGGACACTGTGTTAAGCTTTAAGCAGAGATGGCAGTATTTGGCAGCTAAGTAGTGCCCTCTTGTACCTATCACAGACTTTATGTCTGACTGGTTTTGGAAGGATTTTTTTCCTCACTTGAACAGATATAACATTAGAATGCTTTTTAGTGGAGTACTGCAAGCAGAGGTGGCATACAAGGTGAAACCTGTTACCTTCCACTTAGAGGTACAGAAATGAAGAAGGCATGCCTGTCTTTAAAGAGATCACACACATTCTAATAGGGAGCCATGCTTAACAAGTAGACTATAAAGTCTGTGAAGTGGGTTCTTAGCCACTAAAAAAGACAAAAGGGGTTAGGAACCACTTCTTGGCTAGGGAGCAATCAAAAAAGGATTCTAGAGGAGCGATATCAGGCTGGGTGCTAAAAAGAGTAAATCGGCATTTGCCTCCTTGGTGGGCAAGCAGAAAAACAGTGATTTTTATAAAGGACTGCAGTCATGAAATAGCATACTGGATGAAATCAATGAAATCTGATCTTACTAGATCATAAAGAACTGATGACACTGGAGAGAACAGGAAAACAGCCTTATACCATTCTAAAGATGGGGACTCTAAGGTTGTAGAAGGAATTAAGTAAGGGAAAGATGTGAGACAAGTTTTTGTATCAAAGCTGTTTCATATTTTGCTTATCATATTCATATCAACCTAGCTTAATTTGGGTAAGTAACTAAATAACGTTTTATAGTAGCAGTGGTTCTTGCCAGCAGATCTAAGGTCCTCCCATTTCCATCAACATGACAGTGTTCCCATAGGGAACAGACCTCCTAGGCAGGAATATACTCACGGAGTAACCACTGCTGAAAACTCAAAATCTGAAACGTTCCGCAATTCAAAACTTTTGAGTACCAATGTGATGCCACAAGTGGAAAATTATACGCCTGCCCTCATGTGATGATGGGTCACAGTCAAAACTTCGTTTCATTCACAAAATTATTCAAAATATTACATAAAATAATCATCAGGCTGGCCAGATGTGTTGGCTTCACACCTGTAATCCCAGCATTTTGGAAGGCCAAGGCGGGTGGATCACTTGAGGTCAGGAGTTCGAGACAAGCCTGACCAACACGGAGAAACTTTGTCTTTACTAAAAATACAAAATTAGCCAGGCATGGTGACACATGCCTGTAATCCCAGCTACTTGGGAGGCTGAGGCAGGAGAATTGCTTGAACCCAGGAGGCAGAGGTGTGATGAGCCAAGATTGTGCCATTGCACTCCAGCCTGGGCAACAAGAGTGAAACTCCGACTCAAAAATAATGATAATAATAAATCACCATCAGGCTATGTTTATAAGGTATATGTGAAACATAAAAGAACTTTGTGTTAGGACTTGGGTCCCATCCTCAAGATATCTCATTATATGTATTCAAATATTCCAAAATCCAAAACATTTCTGGTCCCAAGTATTTTGGGTGAGGGATTCCCAACCTGTCCTGTTATTGGTAGTGACTTCTAACACCTCAGCTTTAAAGACCACTCCCTTAGCTTTTCGTAAAGTAGTTGAATAATCTATAAAATAGGACTTAAATATTATAGAAAAAAATTAATTAAACGTCTTTTGTTTTATAACAATTGCCTATGCACGATGATTTTTTAGCAATAAAAATGGCACTTGCACATGGTTCAGTGGAATGTGTTTTAATGGTTGCTTTATGTTCTTAATAATGGGTCTAGTTTATTTGCTTTTAGGAGTGGGCGGAGGGGGTCACATCCGTTGTCTTTTATTACTTATATGTATATTCATAGTAAAGACAATCTTTAACTTTAAATGTGGAAGACAAATCCGTAAGCTTAGATTGTTTGTGACTTTAAAAACAAAATCCAAAAATTCTTTCTTACTTCTTTAGAAAGTGTGGGTCTTGTTTTTATGCAGACATCTGTGAGGTTTTTGTTGGTGAATTCACACAGTAAATGATTGCGTATGGTTCCTTCTGTCAGCTTTTAGTTTGGATGCTGAACAGCCTGATTATGATTTGGATTCTGAAGATGAAGTATTCGTGAATAAACTGAAAAAGAAAATGGACATCTGCCCATTGCAATTTGAGGAAATGATTGACCGCCTAGAAAAAGGCAGTGGTCAGCAGGTACAACTTCATTTGTATATAGCAAGTATATACATACTCTGTGTAAAGAATTGTATTGTATGGAAAGAGTATGAGATTGAAAGGTGGGGGGTAATCAGGCAGGCTTTAGAGTTAAAAAGTATGAATTCAAATCTCATCTCTGCTTATCAATAACCTGTGTAACCTTGAGCAATATGTTTAAATTTTTCTGTGCCTCAGTTCCCCCAGGAGTGTTGTAAAGATTAAAAAATTTATATAAAGCACCCTCGCTCAGTGACTGACATGCATACTGTACTCCTCAAGTTTGCCATTTGTTAATAATGTTGTAATATCAATATTGTCCTTTAAATTTAGAAGTAAATACTTATAGGGCCAGGCGCGGTGGCTCAAGCCTGTAATCCCAGCACTTTGGGAGGCCAAGGCGGGTGGATCACGAGGTCAAGAGATCGAGACCATCCTGGTCAACATGGTGAAACCCCGTCTCTACTAAAAATGCAAAAATGTAGCTGGGCATGGTGGTGCGTGCCTGTAATCCCAGCTACTCAGGAGGCTGAGGCGGGAGAATTGCTTGAACCCAGGAGGCGGAGGTTGTGGTGAGCCGAGATCGCGCCATTGCACTCCAGCCTGGGTAATAAGAGCGAAACTCCGTCTCAAAAAAAAAAAAAAGAAGTAAATACTTATAAACCTTGTATGTGTATTGTATGAAAATGACATAATGTTTTACATTTAGCCAGTCAGTCTGCAGGAAGCCAAACTACTGCTAAAAGAAGATGATGAACTAATTAGAGAAGTTTATGAATATTGGATTAAAAAGAGAAAAAACTGTCGAGGGCCATCTCTTATTCCATCAGTAAAACAAGAGAAGAGAGATGGTTCCAGCACAAATGATCCTTATGTGGCTTTTAGAAGGCGTACTGAAAAAATGCAGACTCGAAAAGTAAGTGAACTTGAAGAAATTTTTTGATCATTGTTTATATAATAAAAATTATGTATAGTTATTTATGACTATCTTAATATTGTGGTTTAATTTGTATTCAGATATGACTTTCTATCCAATTACAATAAAAAATACTAACATAAATTAGCCTTAAGATTATGCAGTTGTTAATGTTATATTTTAATGTTAATCTGTTTAAAAATCAGTACAAAATTGATTTCCTGGTGATCTGTGCTCCCTTTCATTATCTTTAAATTCTAATTTAATCCTTCAAATATATAAATTTTTATGTGTCCATAACTATACCACTAGTTAGAAATACTAACATTAAACAAGCAACTTCACATTTGCAGAATCGAAAAAATGATGAAGCCTCTTACGAAAAAATGCTTAAGCTGCGTCGAGATCTAAGTCGAGCTGTTACTATTCTAGAGATGATAAAAAGAAGAGAAAAGAGTAAAAGAGAGCTATTGCATTTAACACTGGAAATTATGGAAAAGAGGTAAAGTATATTTTAATAATATTAGAGGAAGTATAGTGCCATTAATGTTTTGTATATTGAGTTAATTTATTTCCTATGCAATAATCTAATTACAGAAATACCTTTTTTTAATAATAAAAAGTGTTTAAATATGTGGTATCATACTTTTTATACTTTTACATGTTTTCCTCTATTTTCTTTAAAAGTGACTGGATTCACTGAAGTTAAAATATATGAAGTACTTCCATTTCAAATTGGTCTTTTTTTGGTCCATTAGTTGTATGTAGGACTGTGAGGGAGACAATTCTAAAGTCTTTTTTTTAGTTAATTGATGGGACTAATTCTTTTTTACTGCATATAGAATTTAAAACACTAGGTCGTTAAATAGAAAAGCTTAAAGAAAAAGGGGGAAAGGCCCATCAGTCTTACCACTCAAGCATTTGGCAAGGTACACAATGGAAACTTAAAACCCTCCTGCCCTATTTCTAGTCCCTATCCCCAAGGAAAACCACTGTTAAATTTCTTGTGATTACTTTTAGAAAAATTAATTTTATAGCCCAGGCAATTCTAACTAGCAGAAAGATCCTTAGCACCATTTTAGGCATTAATTTCAACTTCTTCACCAAATCTTTCGCCAGAATTGCTATGTTAAAATTCCAACTTTTGATTTTTTTCCCCACAGTCATCTATTTATATGCCATGATAAAGCTATAAGCCAAAAAATAAAATGAACGAACAAAAGGAATTTGTTTGACATTGAATAGTCAAAGTTTAACTGCAGTCTTGCCTTAAATGTAATTGATGTTTATAATTTTATCCCAGTCAGCTAGTTATTAATGGTTATAAAGATAAGTACTTACAAAACTAACTTTGCAAAACTTTCTTCTTTTTCCAGCTTTATTTAGGTATAATTGACAAATAAAAATTACATATTTTATATGTTGATCAAAGGTTACAAACTTGCAGTTCTGAAATGAGTAAGTTGTGGAGACCTAATGTACAGCATGGTTAATAACAATGTATTATATACTTGAAATTTGCTAAGAGAGTAGATCTTAAGTAATCTCACCACATATACACACAAGGTAACTATTTGAGGTGATGGATATGTTAATTAGCTTGATTGTGGTAATCATTTCACAGTATAAATGTGTATCAAAACATCACATTGTATTCCTTAAATATATATAATGGTAAACTTTCATTTTTACAATTTCAGGTATAATTTGGGTGACTACAATGGAGAGATCATGTCTGAGGTTATGGCACAGAGACAGCCAATGAAACCTACTTATGCCATCCCCATTATCCCTATTACTAATAGCAGTCAATTTAAACACCAGGAAGCAATGGATGTGAAGGAGTTCAAAGTTAATAAGGTGATTAACGATTTTGTGATAATAGTATCTAATAATGGGTTAATATTTTATCATTAGAATGAAAGTTAAAAAGAAAAATACATATATGCCGGGCACAGTGGCTTATGCCTGTAATCCCAGCACTTTGGGAGGCCAACATGGGTGGATCACCCAAGGTCAGGAGTTTGGGACCAGCCTGACCGACATGGTGAAACCCTGTCTCTACAAAAAAATAGAAAAAACTTAGCCAGGCATGGTGGCATGCACCTGTCATCCCAGCTACTCGGGAGGCTGAGACAGGAGAACAAACTGAACCCAGGAGGTGAAGGTTGCAGTGAGCTGAGATTGCACCACTGCACTCTTTAAAGCCTGGGTGACAGAGCAAGACTCGATCTCAAAACAAAAGATAAAAAAAGAAAACCACCTTAATGTATGCTGCAATGATTATTCCATAATATGAAGATAAGCATAAGTCTATAATTAAAATTTTATTTTTGTTTCTCTTATTTCCTTATAAAGGGAAGCTTTTGTTACTATATCTGATAAAAGGAAAAATATTCCTTTTTCAAGTTATAGGATTATGAAGTATTGAAAATAATTCAAACAAAATATGGAGAGTTAGGGAGAAAGATATGAAATCTTACCTGATGAGTTTTTCTTTTTCTTTTCTTTTTTTGAGGCAGAGTCTTGCTCCGTCACCCAGGCTGGAGCGCAGTGGCACAATCTTGGCTAACTGCAATCTATACCTCCCAGGTTCAAGCGATTCTCCAGCCTTAGCTTCCTGAGTAGCTGGGACTACAGGCGTGAGACCATGCCTGGCCTTTAAGAGCTTTTCTGTCTTTTATGGACACATTCGTGTATAAGAGGGAATTCCGGGTTTTTTTTGAAATGGAGTCTTGCTCTGTCTCCCATGTGGGAGTGCAGTGCACGATCTCGGCTCACTGCAACCTCCACTTCCTGGGTGCAAACCATTCTGCTGCCTCAGGCTCGAGCCACCACACCTAGCTAATTTTTTTATTTTTAGTAGAGACAGTATTTCACCAGCTTGTCCAGGCTGGTCTCGAACTCCTAACCTTGTGATCTGCCCTCCTCAGCTTCCCAAAGTGCTGGGATTATAGGCATGAGCCACTGTCCCTGGCATGGAAATTCTGGTATCTTAATAGTTTGTAATATTATTATTTAGAAATGGAAGTACTTGACAAATTAGTATTTAACCAAATCCCAATTTGTGAAGAATAAAATTTGTGAAAGGAAATAAAATTAGCAAAGGGAAACTGAGGTGAATGAAGAGCAGTTATTTAAATGGCAGTTTCTTGGAAAGTATACATCTAAGGAGAAAATACTTTATGTATTTTTTGTATGAAATTTTTCATGAAACTTTGCATCCACCATGCCAGTTCAATTTGGGGAACAAGCAAGTTGGCCATCAGTTTTATCTCCCCTGCGTCATTTAATGTCATGTTCACGCAGGTTTTTTTATTGTGGTAAACAGATCTTCAGTCCTGAACCATACAACCTGCGACACCAGTTAGAACGATGATTCCCCCAGCCTGGACCTTTTTTTTTTCTTTTTTGGTCATTTAAAGCAGTGCCAGGGACCAGACCATTTGGTGAGAAAACACAGACTTTTTTTTTTCCATTTTGTTAACATGGACATTTTGGTTTTAAAAAACGTAGAGGAGGGTGGTCAGAAGAATAGAAAGTTATTCTCTTCAATAATCTGGAAAGTTAGAGTTGTGCCCCAAAATATTGTTTTAGTTTACTCATGTAAGTATTTACTTAAATTTTGTATTTATTTAATGTCCTGCATTTATAATTTATTAGTTCTAAATGTATCTTTAATGTTTAATGGGATTGTTCCCACTCTTACTATTTTAACGTGGTCCCCTTCCTGAGCCCTCCATGATTTTGTGGACTACTTTAATGTTATCCTTCAGTCTTCATATTTTAAGATTAATTGTCCTATTCTGTGCTTTCCCCTGTATGTGCCACTCATGCTTGAAAGTTACTTATTTTAGGCCAGGTGCAGCAGCTCATGCCTATTATCTCAACACTTTGGGAGGCGGAGACAGGCAGACAGATCACTTGAGGTCATGAGTTCAAGACCAGCCTGGCCAACATGGGAAAGCCTCATCTCTACTAAGAATACAAAAAATTAGCCAGGTGTGGTGGTGCGCGTCTGTAATCCCAGCTACTTGGGAGGCTGAGGCAGGAGAATCACTTGAATCCAGAAGGTGGAGGTTGCAGTGAGCCTAGATCACACTACTGCACTCCAGCCAGGGCTACAGAGCAAGAGTCCATCTCAAAAAAAAAAAAAAAGAAAAGAAAAGTAATAGATAAATAATGTAGTCCTAAAGTACTGCCCTAGCTTTTATATAATGTTTTGCATTGCCATGGCTAGCTTTTGATTTTATTATCCTGTCAAATACCACAGTAGAAATTGTAGAGATAACCTTGTAGTTTGATAGTTAACTTTTCCTAAAATACCATAATGTCATAAACTACATAAAACGTAACATAAATATTTAGCATATTTACATAACTGTGGTGCTTGCCATGATCTTTTCCTTTCCAACAAATAGTTTTTGCCACTAGTTTTCCTTACCTATTGCCTATATATCAAATTCATACTTCTCCCAATTTTTGCCATCATCTGCAATACATGTTTCTAACATGCTGTGTTCCATCAGCTCAGTTACTCTTGCCCGTATATTTTATCCTGCATTTCCCGTATTTAATGATTTCATATCTTTATCCTCTAAAACTATTCAAAACTCATCATTTCAGAAAGCTTTCATTGTTCAGCCAGCAAATCCTTGCTACTCTTTATTTATATAACCCCTCACTCAGCATTATGGCTTTGTTTTCTACTATGCTAACAGTTACCTGTAGTTTGCTTTGTGTGTTTACAAAGACATTTTCATTATTCTTTGTCCCATATTTATTATTTCTTGAGAATAAGGACTAGACAATCCCTTTTTAAAAAAAATTTCTCTTCTAGAATTTTCATAGAAAATTAAGAAAATGAGAGAAGCCATCAGTAAATATGCTAATTGCAGCTGTAAGACTTTAGAAGTTGGAGAACTTCTGTTCTCTCCTTTTACTTTAATTGAAACAAAATTGTTTGTGGGATTATGTTTAGATTGTAGGACAAATTTATACTTTCAGGGAGGCCAACTTCTCAAGACTTTACAATATAAGATGGCCATATAGAGAGTCTTGTGTCTCTTATGAATATGAATGCCCTCATTATAGCAATAAACTTCTTTTTTAAACTTCCCCCAAAACTGCAAGTTCGTTGAACATGGTTTCTGGTATATAATTAATTCATGTCTTTGTTGCAGCAAGATAAAGCCGATCTTATCCGACCGAAACGGAAATATGAAAAGAAGCCCAAAGTCTTACCATCGTCTGCCGCTGCTACTCCCCAACAGACGAGTCCTGCTGCACTGCCGGTCTTCAACGCTAAAGATCTGAATCAGTATGACTTTCCCAGCTCAGACGAAGAACCTCTCTCCCAGGTACAAATAGGATTCTCTGTGAATGTTGAGGGAGGGAGGGAGGAAGTCACATATCTGACCCACTTTCTTTATTTCATTTAAAGGTTTTGTCTGGCTCTTCGGAAGCTGAGGAAGACAATGATCCTGATGGTCCTTTTGCTTTCCGTAGGAAAACAGGCTGTCAGTACTATGCTGTAAGTTTCAGACTGTCTTTGTAAATAACAAACTGTTTACCTTTAACTGACAAAATAATTTGGATTTTTTTTTTTTTAAGCCTCACTTAGACCAAACTGGCAATTGGCCTTGGACTAGTCCTAAAGATGGAGGATTAGGAGATGTGCGATATAGATACTGCTTAACTACTCTCACCGTACCCCAAAGGTGTATTGGATTTGCACGAAGACGGGTTGGGCGCGGTGGAAGGTAAGATATTTCCGTATTCCTAGCAGAGGGATATTTTAGGCATTAGCGTGATCAAATCTAACTTGTAAAGTCAATTAATCCTTCTGAACAGCTCATTAGTTCCTATTTGCTATTCTTAACTGATTTGTTGACTAAAATATTTTTGCTGCTATGCTACCTGGTTCTTACACATCTATAGCTTTTGACATAACTCTAATGGGTCCCTAATGGACCTGCTTTTCTCCCCAAGGTGGAAAACCTCAGATAAATTATCAAGGGATAGAATTGTGAGAAAAGGCAACAGATGAAGATAAATGTAAATCCTGATTGCACACAGTGTATTAAGTTAAAGAAACTGCACAAAAGTTGTTTACACTAACTAGTATAATGGGTTTAACTTGACAATGAAAAGGATCCATGCATAACCTGATCTTGACATCATAGTTTGTCAGGATCTAATTGTTCTTCCTTTGTTTAAACCTTATAGAATTCCTTCTTTCATACCCTGAATGCCTTTATGCAAAAAGCTGTTTGTATGGGGACATGAAATAAATAGCAAAACACATAAACTCAAGGAATGGAGAGACGTTAATGTATAATGTGTGGGAAAATTTAAGGGAAAGCAGATGATGGTGTCAAGGCACTTTTTCAGGAAGAAACCCAAGGGTGTATTTACGATAAACTAATAGCTTATACATAGGTTTTTTTAATCTTTATTTCTTAATTGCAGAGGATTTTTTAAATCATTTAAACATTGGTTAAGAATTATCTAGGCACTAAAATACATTTTATTTAGGCCCTTTTTTTCCATCACTATGTTGGATATCAGGAGCAGTGAAAAATCTCTATGTTGGCTATATTTTATTCTATTACTAACATTAATCAATGTTATTATTTTGAGTTAGAGCCATTTATAATGTTTTTTGGTTTTGTTTTTTTTTTTTGAGATGGAGTTCCACTCTTGTTACCCAGGCTGGAGTGCAATGGCACAATCACGGCTCACTGCAACCTCCATCTCTTGGGTTCAAGCAATTCTCCTACCTCAGCCTCCTGAGTAGCTGGGACTACAGGCGTGCGCTACCATGCCCAGCTAATTTTTGTATTTTTAGTAGAGACGGGGTTTCACCATGTTGACCAGGATGGTCTCGATCTCTTGACCTCGTGATCCACCATGCTGGGCCTCTTATGTTAACATAAATAACATAAGAGGCCCAGCGTGGTGGCTCACGCCTGTAGTCCCAGCACTTTGGGAGGCCAAGGCAGGCAGATCACTTGAGGTCAGGAGTTTGAGACCAGCTTGGCCAACATGGGGAAACCCCATCTCCACTAAAAACACAAAAATTAGCTTGGCATGGTGGCAGCCTCCTGTAATCCCAGCTGCTCAGCAGGGAGAATTGCTTGAACCCTGGGGTGGAGGTTGCAGTGAGCTGAGATTGCACCACTGCACTCCAGTCTGGGTGACTCAGTGAAACTCCATCTCAAAAAATTAATAAATAAATGACAGGAATGTATCCTCTAGAACAGTGGATCTCAAATATTTTGTCTGTAAAAAATATTAGTGGTATAAAATACTATGTTTTTTATTGCTTTTCTTCTTTCTTCTCCCTTCCTCCCCACCCTCCACCAAAAGAATAAAGTTTTTGGGCCGGGCACGGTGGCTCACGCCTGTAATCCCAGCACTTTGGGAGGCCGAGGCGGGTGGATCACAAGGTCAAGAGATCGAGACCATCCTGGTCAACATCATGAAACCCCGTCTCTACTAAAAATTAGCTGGGCATGGTGGCACTCGCCTGTAATCCCAGCTACTCAGGAGGCTGAGGCAGAAGAATTGCCTGAACCCAGGAGGCGGAGGTTGCAGTGAGCCAAGATCACGCCATTGCACTCCAGCCTGGGTAACAAGAGTGAAACTCCGTCTCAAAAAAAAAATTAATGAAGTTTTTGTTTAAATATAGAATAAATTTGTTAGTGACATTTTATAAAGCATTCATTTTGGTGTTTTGTAATGGAAGTGAAAATCCTTGGTTGAAAAACAATTTGTTAAAAGAACTTTTATTAGAAATTGAGATTGTAACCTTTAAGAACCAAATACTAAAATAATCAACTTTAAAGCTTTTAAATATTCGGTATGAGTTGGCCTTTGGTAGTTGGGGGGAAAAAGAAAACACTGTCATATATAATCTTTGAATATCTATTTTAAATAAATGTTTCTTGCCTGACTTTTTAATAGGGTCTTACTGGACAGAGCTCATTCAGACTATGACAATGTGTTTCACCATCTGGATTTGGAAATGCTTTCCTCACCACAACATTCTCCAGTCAATCAGTTTTCCAATACCTCAGAAACAAATACCTCGGACAAATCTTTCTCTAAAGACCTCAGTCAAATACTAGTCAATATCAAATCATGTAGATGGCGGCATTTTAGGCCTCGGACACCATCCCTACATGACAGTGACAATGATGAACTCTCCTGTAGAAAATTATATAGGAGTATAAACCGAACAGGAACAGCACAACCTGGGACCCAGACATGCAGTACCTCTACGCAAAGTAAAAGTAGCAGTGGTTCAGCACACTTTGGTATGTTTACTGTTATGATGTACATTTCTATAGAAATGCCAGATTCAACCTTTGCCATTTGTTTATGTGGTCTGTTCCATTTATTGCTAAAAGTCCTTTTCTTTCAAACAATTTAAAAAAAAAAAAAAAAAACCTTGGTCTAAGTATTTATTTGAATCCTGTTGCTATAGGAGTTTGTATGTATGTGTCTTCATTTAAACATACCCGCATACAGAGATGGTTGATTTCTATTTAATGTGTGACTTTTTTTTTCTGGATATAGTCCATGAACCACAAGATTCATCATATTTTTTCATGGTATGAAAAGAAAATGGGCCATAAATTGTTAACTGTTTTATGCTCAGATATTTCTCTAGTTGTTAGTCTGCTTTAATATAGAGACCAGCAAGTGAATATATATCTATACAAAACCTTATATCCTGACACAAGAATTCAGAATAATTTATAAAAGAGAAACTAACTTTTCAGAGAAGAACATTTAAAGGGTTAATATTTTGAAATGTTTTCAGATAATATATTTATTATGGCTTTTATATGAAATGTGTCTAAAATAAATGTTTATTTAAAATATTCCTATAATCTTAGCTGTCTGTTTTAAAGCATAAGTCTGTGTTATTTGAAGCATATGGTTTGTAGAAATTCACCATTAAATTATGTTACTACAGATTTTTTTAAAGATAATTTAAATGTAGATTTTAGAAGGACTATAAAGATATTTATTGTTTGCCTAATCACTCAGTAGGATTATAGTTAAACTGCCTCATAAGTATGAACATTTGCTCTGATTCTTAAAGACCTCCAGAAAATGTTCCATAAACTAATTTACTTGGTGGTTAAAAAAAAAAAAGTACAGTTTACTCGCAAACAACATGAGGGTTGGGGCACCCCCCCCGCCATGCAGTCCAAAATTAGTGTAGAGAAGTTGAGGTATATAACTATCCTAAAGACTTAAGGATTTTTTTTTTTTTTTTGAGGCTGGAGTGCATTGGCAGGATCTTGGGTCACTGCAGCCTCCGCCTCCCAGGTTCAAGTGATTCTCCTGCCTCAACCTCTTGAGTAGCTGGGATTATAGGTGCCCCCCACCATGCCCGGCTAATTTTTGTATTTTTAGTACAGACAGGGTTTCACTGTGTCAGCCAGGCTGGTCTCGTACTCCTGACCTTGTGTTTTTTTTTTTTTTTTTAATTAAAATTGTTTTGCTGTACTACTTTACGTAGGCATATTAATAACAGTTGTAAAACCTACTTTGTGTTTGCCAAAGAACATTAAAAGATGAGCATTAACATTACCAGAAGCTTAGCTAAAAAGAAATCATTAGTAACCTTGTAATTTTTCTTCTTATCATTTCTTTCCCTCATTATGCAATATAACTGTCTATCTATCTATTTATTTATTTATTGGAGACAGGATCTTGCTGCCACTCAGACTGGAGTCCAGTGGCACAGTCATGGCTCACTGCAGCCTCAACTTCGCAGGCTCAACCGATCCTCCCTCCTCAGCCTCCTTCCTCCTGGGTAGCTAGGACTGTAGGGATGGGCCACCATGACTGGCTAATTTTTTGTAAGAGACAGGGTCTCTCTATGTTTCCCTGGCTAGTCTCGAACTCCTGGCCTCAAGTGATCCTCCTGCCTTGGCTTCCCAAAGTGCTAGGATTACTGGGGTGAGCCATTGCACCCAGCCTTGATATTACTTTGTTTAAAATTGGTTTATCTATTTTGTTTTCCTTTTGTCTTAATTATTTTCAATTTCTCCTTAAATTTTGCTAGATCTTCTAATAATTAAGAGGATAAATACCTACAGACTACCATAGGGTTACACTGTTCATTTATATTTGTGAATATTCCAGAGACCTAAAGCTTTTCTCTGCGTACTCTATAAAGTCTATTAGAATTCAACTGTATAAGTGTACTTGACTTAATGCAACTCCAGGCCCCTGAAGACAAAAAAAGAATATTTAGGCTGAGCGCAGTGTCAGCAATTCAAGCCGCAGCCTTGTCAACATAGCAAAACCCTATCTCTACTAAAAATATAAAAATTAACTGGTTGTGGTGGTGGGCACCAGTAATCCCCGCTACTCAGAGGCTGAGGCAGGGAGAATCGCTTGAACCCAGGAGGCCGAGATTGCGCCATTGCACTCCAGCCTGAGCAACACAACAAGACTCCGTCTCAAAAAAAAGAAAAAAAATTAATCAGCTCAAGTGTTAGACAGATTTTGAAATACAATTTACTCAAGGAATATATTCTCCAGGGTGAGTCTGGAGTAGGCAAAGTTGAATGTGTTGCTCCTCCTACAGCATCAGTACCTGCATTGCCACCTTCTCCACAGGTTAAGCATCTTAACTCACTCATTAGTAATTGTAATTTTAAAGATAAGTTTTAATTTTCATACAACATGGCCCCCAAATGCAAACCAGACTATTTCCTTTGGCACTTAACCAAAGAAACTCTGATGTAGTCTTGATGCCAGCGGAAAAACTGGCAGTATTGGTCTTATTAAAAGAGAAGAGTCAGACCAGGCACAGATGGGTCATGCCTAAAATCTAGCACTTTGGGAGGTCAAGGCGGGCAGATCACCTGAAGTTAGGATCAAGACCAGCTCAGCCAACATGGCAAAACCCCATCTCTACTAAAAATACAAAAATTAGCCTGGCATGGTGGTGTACACCTGCAATCCCAGTTACTGGGGAGGCTGAGGCAGGAGAATCACTTGAACCTGGGAAACGGAAGTTGCAGTGAGGCGAGATTGTGCCACTGCAGTCCAGCCTGTGCGAAAGAGGGAGACTCCATCTCAAAAAAAAAAGAAAAAAAGAGTAATCTCCATCAGGGCACCCTCTAAAGGAATTTTTAAGGCTTAATTTTCATGATACAGGTTGAATATTCCTTAAATGAAATGCTTGGGACTGGAGTGTTTCTGATTTTGGATTTTTTTCAGATTTGGTAATATTTACATATACATAATTAGATACATTAGCGATGAGACTCATGTCAAAACATGAAATTTATTTGTTTTTCATATGTACCTTACACGCATAGCCTAAAGGTAATTTTATATAGTATTTTTTAAATAATTGTATTCAGGCTGGGCACAGTGGCTTATGCCTGTAATCCCAGCAGTTTGGGAGGCCAAGATGGGCAGGTAGCTTGAGGTCAGAAGTTCAAGACCCGTGTGGCCAAACTGGCAAAACCCCATTTTTTATATTTTGTATAAAAATACAAAAATTAGCTTGGCATGGTGGTGGGCGCCTGTAAGTCCAGCTTCTCAGGAGGCTGAGGCAGGAGAATCACTTGAACCCAGGAGACAGGTTACTGTGAGCCAAGATCACACCACTGTACTCCAACAGAACAATACTCTCTCTCAGAAAACAAAAAATGTATGCATGAAACAAACTATTGACTGCATTTTGACTATGGCCCATCACATGAGGCCAGGTGTAGAATTTTCCACTTGTAGTATCAGGTTGATGGAGAAAAAGTTTTGGAGCTTGGAACATCTCTAATATTAGAGATGCTAAATCTGTTTATGAGTTTGGAATTTTAACTATTTTATGAAATCTGAGTCAGCTGATAAGCTTTCCTGCTACTTAAGCCAAATATGTGAGTTATAATGCCATTTCTGATTATTCAGTCATTGTTATTTATACTTACACTGTAACATAGTGATGCCCTCTGGGCTGATTTTCCCTTTTCTAAATAATTACCTATTTACTCTCTTTTTCTTTTTTTTTGAGACACAGTTTCACTCTGTCTCCCAGGCTGGAGTGCTGTGGTATGATCTCTGCAACCTCTGCCTCCTGGCTTCAGGCAATTCTTGTGTGTCAGCCTCCCAAGTAGCTAGGATTATAAGTACGCACCACCATGCCCAGCTAATTTCTATATTACTGGTAGAGACAGGGTTTCACCCTGTTGGCCAGGCTGGTCTAGAACTCCTGACCTCAAGTGATCTGCCTGCCTTAGCCTCCCAAAGTGCTGGGATTACAGGCGGAAGCCACCACACCTGGCCTACGCTCATTTTTAAATTCAATAGGAAATTCTAAATGAAGATAATAGAAGTCTAATTTAGTAAAGTACCTGACCTTTAACACTAACTTTTATAGTCTGTTTCAACTACTCAGAATCTTTTTAACTTTCCTTCCCACTGTTAACTATTTTGCATATTTGTGTAACCAAATGTGTAGCCTGAGCACAGTCCAGAATTAGGAAGCCTCGTGAGTTAGGTGTGTTGAGTGCTTGGTGCTCTGGATGCCATGCAGCAGGATGACACAGTGGTAAGGAACTGGGAAAGATCGTATGTGTATGTGGAATTTTGGGGGTGAGGTTTTAGTACTTAAGGATAAGTAGTATATTTTTAATAACCTTCAGTTAATAGGTGATTTGGACAGTTTCCAAATGCAGTTTTCTAATTTTTTTTTAATTCACAAAAGCATCTTGGAAAGTTGAGTGTTCAGTGACTCAGTATTCATTTGCATATGTGTTGAGTTTGGTGATATCAAATAGCAGAATTAATACCTTTTTTATCATTCTTAAGGACGCTCATGTAAGAGTCCTTATATAATTCAGAAAGACTAGAAACAGAAAGTGATTTTTAAGCTACAAGTTTGTATTCAAGAGGTGAATTCCTAATTTCCAATAAAATTTTGCCAGCATTCTAATTCATTTTCCTAAGCTCTCATATCTGCAGTAAAGATTTGGTTTATTTGCATAAACGAATAGGAGATAAGTGGTTAGAGTATGTTCCAAGTCTTAATATCTGTAACTTAGTGTAATTTAGTTTGTAACATAAAATTTTAATCTTATTGTAGAAAAGGAACTCTAGCTTTGAGCAAGGAATATTTTGTAAGATTTTATGACCTTGACTTAATTCAAATGTGTTTCAAAATTCAGAATTTTTTTACTATAGAAAGTGTATTATCACATAATATCTGTAACAGAGTCTGGAGTAGCACCTGTAGTAAAATACATTACTAGTTCTACAGTCATATAATAAAGGGCAAGAATATTCACACTAAGAGGAATATTTAACTACAAATCTCATGTTCAGTCATTCACAGCCAGATGAAGTCAGGTCTGGTCATAGTTTGCCAACAATTGAATTACAACACACTTTGGTGTTCAAATTAGATTTCTAGATGGCTGATAAAGGCTCATGAATCTTGTCAACTCAGTCTCACTAACTAGGAAATCATACTTTAATAACTACCTGAAGAATAATTTTACTTCGTATTTCTTTAAAGTTGCCTTTTGTTTTATATTGAAATCGTGTTCAGCCTGTGTACTAAAATAAAATTCTATTTCAGGGTTTTTTTAAATAAGGCATTTGAGGTTACTTTTGGTTTTGTTATTAGAAACAAAGTATATATTTGAGTGCCAGGTGCTGTGGTTTGTGTCTGTAATCCCAACACTTTGGGAAACCGAGGCAGGTGGATCACTTGAGGTCAGGAGTTCAAGACCAGCCTGGCCAACATGGTGAAACCCCTTCTCTTACTAAAAATTCAAAAATTAGTCGGACATGGTGGCAGGCACTTGTCATCCAGCTACTTGAGAAGCTGAGACAGGAGAATCAGTTGAAACTAGGAGGCCTGGGTGACACAGCAAGACTCTGTCTCAAAAAAAAAAAAATGCATTTTGGTAATCTAAATTCCATCTTTCATGGCCAAATGTTTCTTTAGTGCCCATCACTTTCCCCTCAGCCACACTCCTTTGATCATCTCAGTCTGAAGTGTAGGCTGTTCCAGCTGCTGGTGCACTGTGCCATGGCTTCCCTATAGTACAGGTGGACTCGGAGAGTCTTAGTCCGGGCACAGTGTCTCATGCCTGTAATCCCAGCACTTTGGGAGGCCAAAGCAGGTGGATCCCTTAAATCCAAGGAGTTCAAGACCAGCCTGAGAAATGTGGTGAAACCCTCGTCTCTACAAAAAATACAAAAATTAGCCAGGCATGGTGACACTCCTCTGTAGTCCCAGCTAGAAGTGATTGGGAGGCAGAAGTGAGAGAATCAGTTGAACCCAGGAGGTCGAGGCTGCAGTGAACTGAGATCACAGCACCGCACTCCAGCTTAGGCAGCAGAAAGAGACCCTGTCTCAAAAGAATTTCTGCCTCAGAGAATTGGTTACTTAGAAGCTACCGAAACAAAGGTGGTTTCTACTTCTGCCTAAGTATTTCTAGTGAAGACAAATTCAATAACTGTCTAGATCAAGTTATTTGAGGATCTTGGTTAGAAAGTTTGTCTATGTATTATTGAACCAAAAACTGCCTTCTTAAATTTAAACCTGCAAATCCCTGTTTTGCTCATGGAAGCATACCAAGTGAGTTTGCCCTTGCTCCAGCATCATAATGGCCTTCGTGCAGTTGAAGTCCTGTTGTGCTTCCTTTCCTATTCCCATTCCTGATTAAATATTTGGAGATTTTAATCCTGTCCCATACATGACTCTCCTCCCCACATAGACCATTGTTTGTCATGTATACAGGCATTTTAAGCACTCGATTCACACTGTTGGTACATCAGAAGTTAGATTTCTTGCAAATACTAAATCTAAGACAGAATTTTTGTCTATTTCTTTTTCAATTTAAAATCCCATTGCTTTGGAGTTCTCTTTTCCTTCCACTACTACATCTGTGTGACCTCAGAAGTTTCTTCATCTCTAGATGAGGTTGTAGGAATATATCCTACAACCTCCAGGGATCCTTCCTGACCTCAAAATTTTTTGGTTTTGTGAAAGGTTTCTGACTCTAGATTTGGTCATCTGTCAACAACAACCATCTTGCCCACCTTTGTGTGAATTACAAACTTGTGTGAATTACTATACTGTATCAGGTGGTAGACATACAACCTAAAAATTTTCTTCCTTGATATCTCGATCATTCATAGACATTTAGGGAGGGTAAGGATGGCCATTTTTGTCTTATTTCCATTTAGCATTTGGTTAAACTTTCAAGTTATAATGGTATCATGACCTGCGGTCGTCTCACGATAAAGACCTGGGGACTTTTCTCGATAAATAATATGAACCCAGTTCAGATTTCATTTGCCCATATTTACTACCTTTGTCCAAGTTTTTTTACTCATTCACCCTGCCTTCTTTAGGAATTGAATTTTATTTCTCAGAAGAAACAGAAAACTTGGCTGAGCATGGTGGCTCACGCCTGTAATCCCAGTACTTTGGGAGGCTGAGGCAGGCAGATCACAAGGTCAGGACCAGCCTGGCCAACATGCTGAAACCCCTTCTCACTAAAAATGCAAAAAAAAAATTAGCCAGGTGTGATGACAGGTGCCTATAATCCCAGCTACTTGGGAGGCTAAGGCAGGAGAATAACTTGAACCTAGGAAGGCAAAGGTTGCAGTGAGCTGTGATCTACTCCAGCCTGGGCAACGAGAGTGAGACTCCATCTCAAAAAAAAAAATGAAATTCACAAGACCTTCAAAGACCCAGAATTAAGATGTTAAGTAAGGCAAAAATATTTGGAGTTTATTCATAGTGATTTCTAATTAGTTATTGATAAAGTTTTAATTAAACCCACGCAAACATCAGCAAAGTTATACAAAAGAATACTTTCTTATATATGGACTTTCATACATAGGCACTCAGTGAATGCTAAATTATTGTTTTCCTATATATGTGATGACCTTCCAAAAGTGATTTGTTTGCTTTTAAATTTACTGAGCATTTCCTACTAGAAAAGTCAAGGTTTAGGCAACACACTAAAAGTTAGGAAATTAAACTGTAAATCTCAAAAACATATTGGCAAAAATATCTAGTGAATCCTTACATTTAAATATTTGCTTTTTGTGGATTTTTTTAAACATAAGGAGAAATATTAACTATGAAATTGTTTTAGGGCAGCACTGACTTTTTTTTTAGATTTTCTTCGAGTTTTGATACAACACATTTCTGTTTGTATGGAAATGATCATGTTGGCAGTTATTTTATATCCATATTTAGGGAGCATTCTGTTGTCATTAAAAATATTTTCTATAGATTGCAGATTTGTGAATTATGAACATAGTAGGAAATGGAGTTTGTCAAAGGACAGGTATCAACTAAACAGATTTTGACACACACAGAAAATAAGAAAACCAATAGTAGAATTTTTCCAACAAGAAGTCACTTTTTTCCCTTGTAGCCCAAGAACTTAGTTCCACTCAAGTACAAGAGCCTGTGTAGATCCTAATAATTTAAGAAGTTTTCTTGAATATTGCTATTTCACAATTTTCTGATCCATTCAAACTATGGCAGAATTTGTACCTAAACATTTTCTAGGTGTACCAACCAGAAACTCTATCCTGGAGGATAAAGAAAGATTCTTCATGAGTTATATAAGTGAAAATTATATAACTTGAAATGATATTCTAACTAAATTATCAAGCTATAGTTAAACAGCAACAAATTAGGTGACAGTATTTTGAAAACACTAAACTTTATATTGAGGAAATGTGCATGATTTATAGATTCCCTGGTAACCAGGGATGCATGATAAACCTTTTTTTGTTTTAAAATAATCCTTACTCAAACAAATATCACAGGCTTCTTAAAGAAGCCTTTAAAGTCAGAGGTATTGTGATTGTATGTGCTTTTTTTTTTTTGGCAAAAAAGAGAAAAAGGTTTCCTTTTTAAAAACTGCACACATTTTTTGGGGGGTAATAAATGAACATTTTTTTGTTTGTTTTTTTTAGAACTGAGCTCTCCATAGACAAACATAAGTAGCATAACACAGTGTCTTTCCTCAGACATCATTCTGTACAGTAAATCAGCATAAACAACTCCGTTCTTATTGACTGGATTTTTTCCAGGTGGGTTAATTGGGTGGGGAAAAGTAATTAACCTTAACATTGGAGCCTCTTTTCTTCCTGTTAAACTTAAAGGATGAGTTCTTTAAAAAAAAGAAAAAAAAGGGGGCAGTAAATCAACCAACAAGTGTGATTTTTCATATAGAGGAAAATTTTTTTAATGACTATAATTAGAAACTATGTAGAACAATTAGTATTTATACACAGAGCTATTAGGGATCACCTGAATGCATTGGGAAGCTATGGATTAAATAGAAACCAAATGGTAATTATCAGATTTCCTCTCAAGCTCAGTGCAAAGTTGAATTCCAAATCTATGGATTTTAAAGGCTATTACCTTTCTACACTGTCTAGAACAAGTGTCATAGCTTAAAACAATAGTGGTGTTGAAACATGGGAAGTGAGCAGTTCTCTTTCCTATGTTTAATTCAGGAAGTTTAACTTTTTTTCTTTAAATTCAAGCCACTCTTGTTAAATGTGGTAGCAAAAATGCTGAAATTTTCATTTGGAAGTGATCTTTAGCAGGATCATGAACCTTTGTCAGATGCTTCAATTTTGCACAAATTTCTTTTAATGCAGAATTTTCATTTTAGTATTGTAAGACATATATGATATCCGGGCATTTTTATAAAGTGTTTCTTTATTTTATGTTCAGCATTTACAGCCGAACAATACCAGCAACATCAACAGCAGCTGGCACTCATGCAGAAACAGCAGCTTGCACAAATTCAGCAACAGCAAGCAAATAGTAATTCCTCCACCAACACATCACAGGTGAGGGATTTGTCTGTCTTATGATTATCCCTCATTGTTTCCCACCAGAGTTCATCTCTAATTACCAACTGTTGTCATAGAACCTTGCATCTAACCAGCAGAAAAGTGGCTTTCGCCTGAATGTACAGGGTTTAGAAAGAACACTACAGGTGAGTATGGAAGCTGTTGCCTCTGCTCCCTATTTTAAAAAGTAAAACTAAAGCACTTAGTTAAATGAGATGAAGATACTGTCTTCCCATCTGACCTGTAGTCTGTTAATGTATCTCCTGAATATAACCCCACCCAGTTCATTCTCTTGGGCATGTTAATTATTACTAAGACTTTTTAAATTATGCAAAAATAACTTCTCTTACTGTTGAAAGAGATAACTTTTAAACTGAAAGCATAATAAATGTTTGTCATTTAAACACATGTGGGGCATAAAGGCTGAGGTTTGAGCCTCTATGCATCTTGCAGGAAAAATTCATTTTTAAAAAGTTGAGAGGTCTATCAATTTCTAGGTTAAATTATGTGATATTTTGTTACTTCCATTTCTAAAGGGATAGTTATCTTATCCCAAAGGTGCCTTTCATGTGTGTGTATACATATCTGTGTGTGTATAAGTTAGGTGAAGGAAGTTTGCATATTCATTTATTCATTATATATATTTGCAAATCACTGAAATGTTTTTGTTTTTGTTTTGTTTTTTCTTTTGATATGGAGTCTTGCTCCCGCACCAGGCTGGAGTGCAGTGGCGAGGTATCAGCTCACTGCAACCTCCACCTCCTGGATTCAAGTGATTCTCTTGCCTCAGCCTCCCGAGTAGCTGGGACTACAGGCATGCACCACCACGCCTGGCTAATTTTTGTATTTTTAGTACAGACAGGGCTTTACCTTGTTGGTCAGGATGGTCTCAATCTCCTAACCTCGTGATCCACCCACCTCAGCCTCCCAGAGTGCTTCGATTACAGGCATGAGCCACCGCGCCTGGCCTGAAATGTTTACTAGCATATTTCTTGTCCAACATTTTGTGTTGGAGGTTTTCTGTTTCCACATTATAGAAGGCTTATTTTGGTAATTGACTTTTACATGGTATATATTGTCACATATGAAGCTAAATTTATAACTTAGATTACTTTTCATTTTTCAAATACATGACTATCAAAAGAGATAATTACTGTTGCATCTTAAGGTACTAAAAAAGAAAGAGATTTCAGTGGTTTGCCGTTTTTATTTATTATATTCAAGCTTATTTTGGTATACCTGTGTAGCTTTGATAATGATTTGATGCTAAGTGATACTGATTAGATTTCTTTTATATTTTCTTTTTAGGGTTTTGTTTCTAAGACTTTGGATTCTGCTAGTGCTCAGTTTGCTGCTTCTGCTTTGGTGACATCAGAACAACTGATGGGGTTCAAGATGAAGGATGATGTGGTGCTTGGAATCGGGGTGAATGGCGTCCTTCCAGCCTCAGGTAAGAATAAAGACATTTAAATTATTTGGGTTCTATTTATAATATATATCTATAATATAAACAGCAAACTTGCATGTGGTTTAGATGTTTCTTTCTTTTTCTCTCTAGGAGTATACAAGGGCTTACACCTCAGTAGTACTACACCAACAGCACTTGTACATACAAGTCCATCAACGGCAGGTTCAGCTTTGTTACAGCCTTCAAATATGACACAGACTTCAAGTTCCCACAGTGCACTGAGTCATCAAGTAACTGCTGCCAATTCTGCAACAACTCAGGTTCTGATTGGGAACAACATTCGATTAACTGTACCTTCATCAGTTGCCACTGTAAACTCTATTGCCCCAATAAATGCACGACATATACCTAGGACTTTAAGTGCTGTTCCATCATCTGCCTTAAAGCTGGCTGCCGCAGCAAACTGTCAAGTTTCCAAGGTCCCATCTTCATCCTCTGTAGATTCAGTTCCAAGGTGAGTACTTATTTTAGCCTAACATACCTGGAATAGGAGATCTAACTTCAGTCCTCCAGCATAGTTCTTTACCTATTTCTTTGTGTTTCCTTTTCTTTTCCTTTTATACATTAAACATGTATAGTTGAGAATTGATTATTCAGTTCTTGAATATTTAATTCAATATCGAGTATTTGAACTGGTATAGTAAATACTGCATATATGATTTGGGACGTCCCTTTCTTACTATAACGATAGCTTATGGCCAGGTGCAGTGGCTCATGCCTGTAATCCCAGCACTTTGGGAGGCACAGGTGGGTGGATCACCTAAGGTTGGGAGTTCCAGACCAGCCTGATCAACATGGTGAAACCCCATCTCTACTAAAAGTACAAAATTAGTCAGGCGTGGTGGTGCATGCCTGTAATCCCAGCTACTTGGGAGGCTGAGGCACGAGAATCACTTGAACCTGGGAGGCAGAGGTTGCAAAGAGCCAAGATCACGCCATTGCACTCCAGCGTGGGCAATGGGCAGTAAGAGCTAAACTCTGTCTCAGAAAAAAAAAATAGCTTATAATGCTCTCTTATTTCTTCCATCTTTGGATAGAAGGAGTTCTCTTTAGAAGGTTTCTTTTATTATTTTTCTCCACAGCCCTTCGTGTAAACAGGTAGAATTGATAGAACCCCCTGCCCCCATCACCAGTATGCTAAGCTTCTTTTTTTTTTTAATCGAGACAGAGCCTCACTCTGTCGCCCAGGCTGGAGTGCTGTGGCACCTCAGCTCACTGAATTCGAGTTCTGCAGTGAAACCTCTGACTCCCGGGTTCAAGCGATTCTCCCGCCTCGGCCTCCAGAGTAGCTGGGATTACAGGCATCCGCCATCATGCCCAACTAATTTTTATATTTTTGTAGAGACGAGGTTTTACCATGTTGGCCAGGCTGCTCTTGACCTCCTGACCTCATGATCCGACAGCCTTGGCCTCCCAAAATGCTGGGATTACAGCGTGTGCCAGCATGACTGGCTGAGGATATCTTTTTTTTTTAAATGCAAGATACATTTAACCCCCCAAAAAATAATATTTAAGTCTTTTCACTTATGGGAACATATAGGTATATATACACACACACATATATATTTAATCAAAACAGTTTACCTTAGGCCGAGGCGGGTAGATCAAAAAGTCAAGAGATCGAGACCATCCTGGTCAACAAGGTGAAACCCCGTCTCTACTAAAAATACAAAGATTAGCTGGGCATGGTGGTGCGCACCCGTAGTCCCAGCTACTCCGGAGGCTGAGGCAGGAGAATTGCTTGAACCCAGAAGGCAGAGGTTGCGGTGAGCCGAGGTCGCGCCATTGCACTCCAGTCTGGGTAACAACAGCGAAACTCCGTCTCAAAAAAAAAAACACTTTACCTTTCACTCAACAACTATTCAAGACAGAAACCGTGTCAGACAAGCAGCCTCCTACAGAGTTCCTACTGCGCATTTCTCCTCTGTGGCCAAAGCAACAAAACCGGAAGTAAGCCACAAGATGGCTGCAGGAAGCCATGCTGGGACTACCACCCGGCAGGCGCTAGTTTCCCTGCCGCCCACTTCCTCAGCCACACCCCTGCCAGATATGGGGTCAGCCCGATTCTCCTGAGCTGAGGACCCGGCCTAGCCAGCGTGACCCCGCAGCACCACAGCCACAGGGTCAGCCCCAGAAGCAGCAGGGCGGGCTTGAGTGCAGATGCCGGGCGCCCTCGTGCAAGCCTTGAAGAGGGCTGCCACCCATGACATTGACCAGAACGAAAGCGGTAGCCAGGAGAAGCCCTCGCAGGTGCTGAGGGGATCCAAGCTTGTGAGCTGAGTCCTAACCTCGCACCACTCGCTGGGGAGGATAAAACTCCCGCAGCCATAGGCTGGGGTCACCTAGCAACAGGCTTTTTTTTTTTTTTTTTTTTTTTTTTTTTTGAGACAGAGTCTCACTCTGTTGCCCAGGCTGGAGTGCCATGGAGCGATCTTGGCTTACTTCAACCTCTGCCTCCTTGGTTCAAGTGATTCTCCTGTCTCAGTCTCCGGAGTAGCTGGGACTACAGACACCACGCCCAGCTAATTTTTATATTTTTAGTAGACACGGAGTTTCACCATGTTGGCCATGCTGGTCTCAAACTCCTGACCTCAGGTGATCCACCTTTCACGACCTCCCGAATTGCTGGGATTACAGGCATGAGCCACCTTGCACGGCCTTAAGCCATTCTTATTAATGTAAAGACTTAACAGTGTTCATGCCAGGTCAACTCGTTGATCAAACCATTATTTTCTTTGCTAACTTGGCTTCTTGGATTTCGGTAGACAGTTGCGAATTTTGCTTATGCTCTATTATGTTGTAGAATTAATTGTGATTAAAATCCTGCTGTCTACAAAGTACTGTGGGAGAAACAAAAGAAAAAGACAGTTTTCAGTTTAGTTAGGAGACAAGCATAGAGAAGTGAGAAGCTCGGT